TGCTAAGATTCCCTGACCTCCTAAATATATATATTTTTAAATAAGCATGTACTAAGGTTTGTTCACTCTGTCTCTGAAGGTCTGTGGGGTTGGCAGATGCATTTATCTATTGTTATAGTTTCACTGCCTGAAAAAGTCCCTTATGCTTTACCTGTTTAACCATACCCCCTCAACTTCTAGCAATCACTGATCTATTTACCATCTCTCTAGATTTGCCTTTTCAAGAATGTATATAAATGGAATTATATACTAGATAGCCTTCCAGACTTGCTTCTTTCACTTAGCAATATGCATTTAAGATCCATCATCCAACAATCTCTTTGTTTTAATTTGCATTTTAAAATATTTTCATTGATTTTTAGAGAGAGGAAGGGAGAGAAATATGGAAACATCTAGTTGGCTGCCTTCAGTATTTTTAATGACATGTCGAGCATCTTTTCATATGCTTATTTGCAGTCTGTATATCATCTTTGCTTAGGAGTCTGTTCAGATCCCCCCACCCATTGTTTTACAGTGAGGGAGTTTATTTAACAAGAAATTGGGAGGAAAGACAGTTCTAAGATTGGTTCCTTTAGCAGTTAAACAGTGTCATCAAGAACCAAGGTGCAGGACCTAAATAGACACCTCTCCAAAAAGGACATACGAATGGCCAAGAGACATATGAAGAAAATGCTCAACATCACTCATCATCAGAGAGATGCAAATTAAAACAACTATGAGGTATCACCTCACACCTGTCAGAATGGCTGCCATCAACAAATCATCAAACAACAAGTGTTGGCAAGGGTGTGGAGAAAAGAGGACTCTAGTACACTGCTGATGGGAATGCAGACTGGTGCAGCCACTATGGAAAACACTATGGTGTTACCTCAAAAAATTAAAAATGAACTGCCGTTTGACCCAGTGATCCCACTTCTAGGAATATACCCTAAGAAACCTGAAACACCAATCAGAATATATGTACCCCTATCTTCATAGCAGTACTATTTACAATAGCTAAGATCTGGAAACAGCCCAAGTGTCCATTAGTAGATGAGTGGATAAAAAAGCTGTCGTACATGTACACAATGGAATACTATGCAGCTGTAAGAAAGAAAGATCTCTTATCCTTTGAGATGGCATGGAAGGACCTGGAGAGTATTATGCTAAGTGAAACAAGCCAAGCAGAGAAAGACAAGTATCACATTATCTCACTTATTTGTGGAATATAATGAATTAAACAAACTGCTGAACAAAATTAACCCAGAGATATGGAGGTGGGGTACAAGCTGACAAGCTTCAGAGGAGGGGAGCTTGTGGGGGAAGAGATAAAACCACAGAACTTACATGCATATATGCATGACCAATGAACGTAGACAACAAAGCTGGGGATGGGGCGGGGGCGGGGGAGGAGGGTGTCAGTGGGGGAAGAATGAGAAACATCTGTAACAAAACCAAATTAATAAAAAGTAATAAAAAACTCAAGGTGCTTTCTTAATTAATTTTTTATTTTAATCCTCACTCGAGGATATTTTTTCACTTATCTTCAGATAGAGTGGGAGGGAGGGGGAGAGAGAGAGAGAAACATCCATGTGAGAGACACGTGGATTGGTTGCCTCCCGCACAATCCTGACTGGGGCTGGGGACCTAACTGCAACTGAGATACGTTTCCTTGACCTGAATCAAACTCTGAGGTCTGTGGGCTGACGCTCTAACCGCTAAGCCAAACCAGCCAGGGCCCAAGGTGCTTTTTTAAAAAGTTAAATTTATTGGGGTGACTTTGGTTAATAGCATTATATGTTTCAAGTATACAATTGTACAATGCATCATCTGTATGTCACACTGTGTGCTTACCACCCACAGTTGGGTCTTTCTTTACCATCTGTCTGTTAGAGACTGCTGTACCCTCTTCATTCTCTTCCTGCTCCCTGTCCTCTGGCAACCACCATGCTGTCTGTGTCTATAAGCGCATTTGTCGTGTTTGTTCATTTGTTGTTTTCTGTTTTATAATCCACATATGAGTGAAATCATGTGGTTCTTTCCTTTTCTGTCTGACTTACTTCCCTTAGGATGATAGTCTCAGGATCCATCTATGTTGTCACAAATGGCAATATTTCATCTTACGGGGAGGGTGTGTGTGTGTGTGTGTGTGTGTGTGTGTGTGTGTGTAAATCCTTTAGGGTTTTTTTTAATATATATAGTCAGTTTGGATGCATTTTATTTATTTTTCTTTCTTAATTACTCTGGCTAAAACTTTCAATACTGTGTTGTATAGAAGTGGTGAAAGCAAGTATTTTCTTGTTCCAAATCTTAGAGAAAAATTTTTTCAGCCTTTTACTTTTAAGTGTAATGCTAGGTGCGGATTTTTCATATGTGGCCTTTATTATATTGAGATATATGGTTTCCTTATATTCTAGTTTTTGCATTTTTTAAATCATGAAAGGGTGTTAATTTTGTCAAATGCTTTTTCTGCATAAATTGAGTTGATCATATGTTTTCCCCCCTTCATTTGAACATGGTGTTCCATTGATTGATTTTAATATGTGAACTATGCTTATATTCCAGGAATAAATCTCACTTGATCATAGTGTATAACCCTTTTAATATGCTGCTGAATTTGGTTTGCTAGTATTTTGTTAAGGATTTTTGCATCAGTTGCATAAAGGAAAATTAGTTTGTAGTTCTTTTAGTGCCTTTGTGTGGCTGTGGTGCAGGTAATGATTCCTTCATAGAATGTCTTAGAAATAATTTCCTCCACTTTGTTTTTGAAAAGAGTTTGAGAGAGATTGGTGTTAGTTCTTTAAATATTTGGTGGGATTGATCAGTGAAGCCATCAGGTTCAGGGCTTTTTTTCTTGCTGGGAGGTTTTTTGGTCATTGATTCAATCTCCTTACTACTACTGGGACTGTTCAGATGTTCTGTTTCTTTATGATTCAGTCTTAGTAGATTGTTTCTAGGAATTTGTCCATTTAATTTAGTTTATCTAATCTGTTGGTTACAGTTGCCCACAGTTGCTCTTATAACCACTCTTTCATTTCCAGTTTTAGTAATTTAAGTCTTCTCTACTTTTCTTGGTCAGTTTCACTAAACACTTGTCAATTTTTTTGGCAACTTTTAATTTTGTTGTTTTTCTGTGTTGCATTTATTTCTGCCCTAGTTTTTATCATTTCTCCCTGCATCGCTTTGTGTTCAGTTTGCCCTTTTCTAGTTTCTTATGATGAAAAGTTAGGTTATTGATTTCAGATCTTTTATAATCAGACATTCAGAGATACAATTTTACCTCTAAGCACTATTCTAGCTGTATTCAACAGCTAAATTGTGTGTTTTCATTTTTGTTCATCTGAGAGTTTTGTGACTTTCCTTGTGATTTCTTCTTTGGCCCCTGGTTATTTAGGAGTGTGTTGTTTGTTAATTTTCTAACTATATTGTGGTTAAGAACATAGTTTATGTGATTTCAGTTCTTTTAAATTAATTCAGACTTGTCTTATGGTCTTTCCATGTGCACATAAGAATATGTGTTCTGCTGTAGTTGTGTAGAGTGTTCAATAAATGTCTGTTAAGTCTAGTTAGTTTACAGTGTTACTGAAATCTTCTGTTTCCTATTGATCATTTGTGTAATTGTTCTATCCATTATTATAAATGGCTATTGAAGTCTCCAGCTATTGCTGAGTTGTCTTTTTGCTCCTCTTTTTTTTTTTAATCCTCACCCGAGGACATTTTTCCATTTTTTGTTCAGATAGAGTGGGAGGGAGGGGGGGAGAGAGAGAAAGAAACATCTACGGGAAAGGGACACAAGTGGCTGCCACCTGGCTGCCACCTACATCAAGTGGCTGCCACCTGGCTGCCACCTGCATGACCAACCAGGGCCGGGGACAAACTGCAACCGAGGCACGCGCCCTTAGCGGGAACCAAACCTGGGTTTCCCTGGACCACAGGCTGATTGATGCTCCAACCGCTGAGCCAAACCAGCCAGGGCTGCTCCTCTATTTTTAAAGGGTATGGGTGCCAGTGGGTGAGGGAAAATATGCTGCATAATATAAATATCTTTGATATTGACTCTAAGGAGGCCCTGTAATCACTGTGCAAGATTATACTTTCCAATAAAAAATGTGCAAAAGATGAGCAAACAGATCATATAAATATATAACAGATCATAAAAACATAAATTCCTGATAACCTTGGGAAAGAAGCTGAGCTTCTCTTGTAATTGGGGAAATGCAAAGTAAAATGAGATAACTGTTAAAAAAATCTATTTAGCGAGGGGTATTTTCAAACACTGTTAATAAGACTACAAGTTGCTCTTTTTAATATTTTTGACAACCCTTTTATTATTTTTTTAATCCTCACCTGAGGATATGTTCATTGATTTTTAGAGAGAGAGAGAGAAACACCGATGTGAGAGAAACCTCTATCGATTGCCCCCAGAATGCACCCTGACTGGGGATCGAACCCACAACCTTTTATTTGTGGTGTATAGGACGACATTCCAACCAACTCATCCACCTGGCCAGGGTTTGACAACCTTTTTAAAGCTTCTTATTTGTTTGTTTGTTTGTTTGTTTGTTTGTTTTTTTACTTACATTGTGTTAGGAGTATACCTCCATATTTATCACCCTACTTCAACAATTAGGAACACACAAGGCCAATTTTATTTCACCTACATATTTTGTAAGGTGGTCATAAGAATCGGCTGAATTGAATCCAAGCTTTTTGTTTGTTTGGGGCAAGAATACTTTATGAGGTGCTATTTCTTGTGTCACGTTTTGCAGCAAAGACTCTGACTTTCTTTGTGATGTTCTGATTGATGAGGGTTCAGGTTTTGTCAGTTCGATTATTCCCTTATAAAATGCCTCATCAGTTTTTATGTAATGGTTTTTATAGCCATTAGTGGTTATAGTGTAGATTTACTGTTTCAGTGAGGTTGCAAAGTGGCAGGCGTATAACTTAATCATTCCTTCTTTATTCGTTATTGAAATTCTTATTTTTGGTTGTCAAATAATCTTTAACTGAAATATTTTCTTTTGTAGTTCTTAACTAGTCAAGCAGTTCACTTGCACCACTGTTGATGTCATCTATGATACCATGAGGGTGGCAGCAGTCGGCATTGCAGACCACAGACTGGTCAGTCCTCAGGATCTCAAATGATTCCAGCAAGTTCTCTAGCTAAAGATTGGTGGTGCTGTATCTGTCGGGCAGTGTTGACAATCTCATCAAAAGTGATATTTCCACTGTATTTAATTTTTTTGCTTCTTCCTGTCTCTGGCAGTTCTTTGAGGGCTTGATGATCAGGGCAGAGGCAGAAAAGGCTCTTCCTCAGTCTGGGCCTGTTTGTTCTGAATGGACAGTTTCTCTGGAATCCTCAAACCCTTCCAGTCACCTGTTGCTTTGGCAGTGCCATCACCAAACTGTTTTGGAGACAGACCCAGGGGGCTGATCTTGGGGACCAGGGCAGTCATGGTACTTAATGACTTCCCCACCAATGCACTTCAGGTATATGACTTTAATCTAATTGGGGTTGAACTTTATGAAGCATGGGATCTGGGAGGCAGCTGGTATTGGATACACCCAGATTAGGGACAAACAAAGAAAGTTATACCTAAGCTTCCTCCAAGCTGAAAGCCCAAAGTCATTGAAGTTCTTAAACTTTCCCTAATCAGGTATTTGGTTACCTTGAAATATAGAACAAAATAAATGCTTTCTTTTTTCCCTCCTCATTTAATAATGACTTAGTTTTCCTCCAAAGATTAATGGATTTACAAATTTGACCAGTCTTTGCTCAGTGGGAGTGAGTTCCTTCAGGTTGGCTCCCAAATCCTTTTGATACAACTGTAGTTTTTGATAGCATTTTTGCTTTTGGCAAGTTATGTTTCAGGAGCATGTATATATATATTTTTTGCCCTGGATTTATTTGTCCCAAAAGTCCCGTGTTTTTTTTAATCCCCACGCGAGGACATTTTTCCATTTTTTTTGTTCAGATAGAGTGGGAGGGAGAGAGGAGAGAGAGAGAGAGAAACAGAAACATCAACGTGAAAGGGACACATCAAGTGGCTGCCACCTGCATGACCCAACCAGGGCCGGGGACAAACTGCAACCGAGGTACCTGCCCTTAGTGGGAACCGAACCCAGGTCTCTCTGGACCGCAGGCCGATGCTCTAACCATTTAGCCAAAACGGCCAGGGCAAAGTTCCGTTTTCTTTTAGTGGGAAAGATATTTCAAGACCACAGTCTGGGCCCTGTATGTGCTCACATCTTTTGGGTTGCTTCTATTTTCTAGATCTTTTTAGTGGGTAGGACTAGGAAACCATGTTTATTTAAGGTAATTGATAATCATAATCTGTATTGATATTTATAGACCAAATTTAGGACTTCAAATTTTTACTTTGATTTTATGTTTGTGTCTTTTTCTCTTAAAATGAAAATATTGGTTCGTAGTGACAATAGCATAGTAACTTATTTACTGTATTCTACTACAGTAGTCCCCCTTTATTAATGGGGAATGCTTTGCAAGACCCTCAGTAGATGCCTGTAACTGCAGATAGTACTGTACCTATCTACACGGATATTTTTCATTTTATGTAATAAAGTTTAATTTATTAGGCACAGAAAAAGATTAACAGCAATAACTTGTAACCAAAATGCGGGTTCAGCTGCTTGGTGCAAGGAAGGCCAAACTCATGAGACAGGTGCTAGTGCAAAAGGAAAGAGGTTGTTATTCAGCTGCTGCCACCTGGGAGAATGGTAGTCTTCAGTCTCAAAGACCATCCCTCCTTCCTGCTCATGCCGGATTCTTATAGGGATAGGGAGGAGAGGGCTTTCTATTTTATTTTTTGAGGGCTCTTTTTCTATGCAATTATCTTGCTAGCTTTTGGTGTGCTCAAGTCCTATCCATTAATCTTTCTAGCTTTTGGATGGTCAATGTAAGAACCTCCTCCTCTGCTATCTTGGTCAATAGGTGGGGGGAGATTCTTGGTGCTCCATGACTGTCTGCAGTATCAGGGTCAGTGGCAGGACACTGCAGGACCCTCCATCAGGAAGCCTAGAAATGCCACAATCCTCAGCCAGCTTCCTGATGTGGTGCAAGGTGACTGCTGGTTGGAGTTCATGGGGCACACCTGAATCCCCTCTCACAGCCTACCCCTTGAAGTGGCCAGCTGTGCTCACTCTGCTGCTGCTGCCTACACCCTGACAGACTGTTTACACAACAACAAACTGATAATAAAAGAACAATTATAACAGTATACTGTAATAAAAGTTATGTAATGTGGTCTCTCTTTTTCTGATAACTGAGATGGCTACTAAGTGATTAATGGACAGGTAGTGTCTACATCCTGGATGCCCTGGACAAAGGGATGATTTAGCTCTGGGTTTAGCTCCCATCTCTGTTGCTTTCACTCTGTTTCCTTCGTCTTCTGTATGTAACTAGTGTTCACTGGATGCTTATTTTATTCTTCCAATTTATGTTTTGTTTTTCTTTTTTTTTTTTTTTGGTATGTGACCCTAGCGGGAACCAAACCCAGGACTCTCTGGTTCGCAGGCCAACACTCCAACCTCTGAGTCAAATCGGCCAGGGCTGTTTCTTTTTCTGTACAAGCAAATATATGTGTGTGATAGGTATTCATATTTTGTCCCCTTTTTTTAATCCTCACTGGAGGATATTTTTCTATTTATCTTCAGAGAGAATAGGAAGGAGGGAGGGAGGGAGGGAGGGAGAGAGAGAGACATTGATGTGAGAGAGACACATCGACTGGTTTTCTTCCACACAACCCTGATGAGGGCCAGGGACAAACTGCAACCAAGGTACATATCCTTGACTGGAATCAAACCTGTGACTCATTGGTCCACGGGCTGATGCTCTAACTGCTGAGCCAAACTGGCCAGGGCTTATCCTTTCTTAAATAAAAAGTACTATGCATTTCACAGTATTTTGTATCTTTTTTTTTTTTTTAATAACTTGGCATCATATTTTGGGCATTGTTCCAAGGCAATATTTAGAGATCTCCTTTTTACAACTGTATAATATGCCACTATGTGGATTTATTGTACTTTACTAAATGAACAGAGTCCCTTCCGAACCCTTCTTTTTGGCTAGTATGGTGTTGCCATAGCCTTGTGCATATGACACATCATGTTTTTGCCATTTTGTCTTTGGGACAAATTCCTAAAGTAGGATTGTTGTTTCAGAGAATAAATATGTAAGTAATCTTGCTACATGTTGCCTCATTGTACCATTTTTTTTTAATTCCCATTAGCAGTGTAAAAGCATATTGTCAAACTTTTGAATATTTGCCATTCTGATAGTGAGAAATTGTATATGAATATAGCTTAATTTTGCATTTTTCTTATTATGAATGTGTTGAAGACCTGTTTGCTGTCTTATTCTATGAACTGTTCATATCTTTTGCCTGTCTTTCTATAGGTTTGTTAGTGTTTTTTTATTCTTTTAAGAAACATTTTATGTTAGAGATTAGTTGATTAGCTGACATGATTTGAAGTATTTTTTTCACCCAGTTACACAGCTTTTTAAAAAATAATTATACATGTATGCATGACCAATGGACATGGACAACAAAGCTGGGAATGAGGAGGAGAGTGTCAATGGGGTAAAAAGGAGAATCATCTGTAACAAAAACAAATTAATAAAAAAAAATAATTGGTTTTTATTTATTATAATTTAAAATATGATAATTTATGGTCCTTCAATTCCACTTCTGGAAATTTATCCTAGAATGCTGTGCAGTTGTAACCAAATTCATTTGTTTGTTTATTTTTTATTCTCACTCGAGGACATTCTTTTGCATTTATCTTCAGATAGAGCAGGAGGGAGAGAGGGAGGAAGAGAGAGAGAGAGAAACATGGATGTGAGAGAGACACATCAAGTGGTTGCCACCCACACGACCCCAGCCGGGGCCGGGGACAAACTGCAACCTAGGTACGTGCCCTTAGCGGGAACTGAACCCAGATCTCTCTGGTCCACCGGCTGACACTCTAACTGCTGAGCCAAACTGACCAGGACAGTATTTACATTGTTGTGCAACCAACCTCTAGACATTTTTCATCTTGCAAACGAATTCTATATCCATCAAACAACAATTTCCTATTTTCCCTCCCCCCCCACGTGTTTGACCACTCTAAATATTTCACGAGTGGAATAATACAATATTTGTCTTTTGGGGACTGGCTTATGTTACTTAGCATTGTGTCCGCAAGGCTCATCCATGCTGTAACATGCTTCACCTGCTTACATTTTAAGTCAGATGACACTCTCCCCTTTATCCCCCCCCCCCACTAATACTGTTAATTATTTTTATTTTACTCTGGTTTTCAAAAAGTAATATTTCAGAATTTCTTGTTGCCCTTTCTAACCACAAAATGTCTATAAAAGCTAACTAGTAAATCTTTAAAATATCAAAAAATGGTGTTTGTATGAATATTTTTCTTTAATCTCACAAATATTTTGAATTATGTTTGGAGAGTTACAAAAAGAACCTCAAAGCAGTCTTAAGAATTTAAACTTCATCATGAGGGCAAAGGGGGCGGGGTTGTATCACTTAATAATTGCTACATAAGAAACTATCCCGAAAATTAGTAGTTTAAAACAACCGTTCATGACCATTTTGAGGTTAGCAGTTTGGGCCATGCTCAGCTGGAGGCTCTTCACTATGTTGATTGCGGTTTTGTTTCTGCAGTCTTCTGCACACCTGATTGCAGTTGGGTGCTTTAAGGTGGCCTTGTTTCTGTGTCTGGCAGTTGGCGATAGCTCTTCACTGATTGGTCTAAGGGGCATCAGTTGGGAGGGCTTCAAATGCTCTCATCCTCCTGTCCTAGAAAGGATTTCTCCATTTGGTCTAGAAGGCCTCTGAAAGTCTAGGTTCAGAAGTCCATGTTGTCACTTCACCTGACATCTGTTGGTAAAGCCAGCCCCAATCCAGGAAAGTGGAGAAGTAGACTGCCCCTGTCAGTGGGATTGGCAGCTCAGTTATGTTGTGAAACTGTGTGTCCTGGAATAGGAGGAATCTGTGGGTTGTTTTTTGTGGCCTTGTGCAGGAGGGGTAGGATGAGGTTTGTATTTTAGACTGATCATTCTGGTTGTAGTGTCAAGAAGGATTTGGAGGGGGCAGGGAAGAGGCGTCAAGGCAGGATTCAGAGGCTGTCCTAGTCATCTGTGGGAGAGAAGGTAACATGAGTAAGTAAGGACATCAAGACACACTTTTCATCATCTGCTTTTAAATGTTTCAAAATATTCCATACTGATTTATAAGAGGGTAACAAAATGAAGAGGGGTAACATTGAACTAATCAAGAGAGGCTGTACTAGATCAGGCTCCACTAGAAATAATTGGTTTAATTTTTTTAATCCTCATCTAAGGATATGTTTATTGTTTTTTGTTTGTTTGGTTGGTTTTAGAGAGAGAGAAACATCAAGTGGTTTCCTCTCAAATGCACCCCAACCGGGGACCAGTCCTGCAACCTACGTATGTGCCCTGACAGGGA